CATATGAAGTTCAATAAGAGGAAGTGCTGGATTCTGCACCTGGGATGGGGCAACTCCAGATATATGGACAGACTGGGGAATGACGTGCTGGAAAGCAGTGTTGGGAGGGACCTGGGGGTCCTGGTCCATGGCCAGTTGGACATGAGTCAGCAGTGCCCTGGCAGCCAGGAAGGCCAATTGTGTCCTGGGGGCATCAGGCAAAGCATCATTGGTCAGGCCAGGGAGGGGATTGTCCCAGTCTGCTCTGACCTGGGGCAGCCTCACCTGGAATATTGGGGTAATTTGGGGTGATAGAATATAAGAAAGATACTAAGCCATTAGACAGCGTCCAAAGGAGGGCAATGAAGATGGTGAAGGGCCTCGAGGGGAAGCTGTGTGAGAGGCGGCTGAGGGCACTTGGTCTGTGAAGAGGAAACTGAGGGGAGACCTCATTGCCATTACAGCTTCCTCATGAGGGGAAGAGGAGGGGCAGGCACTGATCTCTGGTCTCTGGGGACTAGGGACAGGACCTGAGGGAATGGCCTGAAGTTGTGTCAGGGGAGGTTTAGGTTGGATATTAGAAAACAGTTCTTCCCCCAGAGGGTGGTCAGGCACTGAACAGGCTCCCCAGGGCAGTGGTCACAGCACCAAGGCTGACAGAGCTCAAGGAGCGTTTGGATGATACTTGGGGGCATGAGGTGTGAGTCTTGGAGATGGTTCTGTGCAAGCCTAGGAGCTGGACTCAGTGATCCTTGTGGGTTCCTTCCAACTCTGCATATTCTGTGATTTTGTGAACTAAAAAGTTTTTCAAGTAAGAAGAGTCTGCTGCCAAGGAAGAGCATTCTTTGCCAAGAGGTTCTTTTCTCTGGCAGTATAGCTGCCAGTCTACTGCCAGGAGCATCCAGCACCTCTGCTTGAGACTCAGACTTGGCTTTTTGTTAGCACTCCTCTTGACGGCTTGGAGGGCCTCAGGCCTTTCTTCCAAACTGTCCCAAAGGCAGTTTAGCCCATCCTGTTATAATATTTTTGAGGTATTTCTGCTTGTAGAACTGTAACACAAAACAAATGCATTATAGAATAATGTAGTAACACAGATATGGCTGAAGCAAAAAGTACATCTTCCTCAGAAGCTGGTACTTAATTCTTCTGACCAAGACTAAAACCTCTTCAGTAAAACTGATGTTCAGTTTCATCAGTCAAATTCAAATATTGCAAAGCAAAAAAGTGCAAGTTCTTCTTACACCATGATGTTTCTCTGATCTCCTTTTCATTTATTCTGACCCTTTCTCGCCTGTATTTTTCCTTATGCAGCACTCCTTTAGGTCTGCATTATTGAAGTAACCCTATAAAATAATAAGCATTTTCAAACCTCGTTTTCCAAACTGTTATGAGGGAGGAAATCATTCTGTGGAAAGCAAATTACCTAGTCCATAATTACAAGTCCATAATGGTAGGTGAGGTTTTAGGTGGAAACTTGAGTGCATAGAAATTCAGATAAAATCCAGAACCGTCCGTAAAACATAAAATATTTTGTATGTATTGTACTCTGTTTTGAACATTGATTTCTTAATTGATGCAAACAAAAAAAGAACAATTTTATATTTAATTTGCTTTTTTTAAAATATAATTCATAAACAAACCTGTGCACTGGATTTATAATGTATACAGAAGGTAATTATTGGCAATGAATGCATGAACTGCGCATATAGTTTCAGAAGGTTTGAAGTTTAAAAATCTTGATAAAATTATGGAGCTTATGGGAACAATCACTTAATTTTCTTCTAACAACTTTTTCTGATTTTGTATTTTGTATAATGCTTGTCAAGTGTGAGATTCACAAGAGGAGAAGGAGGATACAACAGACCTTTCATCAGTTTATATATTCTTATTTGTGCATACAGGTCTCACATAAAGCTTCAAATGTCATTTAAGAGCTGAATGTCACACAATGAATTAAGATTTGGTGTGACAGAGAACAAGAAATAAATCCAAGTTCCAACTCCCTTTTCCAACAGAGCAGAGCACAGGACTACTTTATTGGGCATTTAAATTAACTATGTGGAGTACCTGGCAAGGAAGGTGCACACAACTAGGTTTGGGTAGCTAAGGCTGGAAGCTCTAGGTTTGTGCATGATCAGAGAATAGAGTAAGCATCTTTCTCTCCACTGTGACTATATTAAAAAACCTGATTTTTAGCTTAAATGTCTGAAGTTAGCCGGTGTGAAACCCCAGACACACGTTCATCCAAGTAACTCCCAGTAAAAAATGTGCAGCTTGTCCTTGTATGGGCTGAAAGAAAACATTGGAAAGGACATAAGTATTTGGCTTATAGCCACCTAATCTGTGTGGCTGCAGGAACAAGAACCATTTTTGACTTTTTTTTTTCTTCAGCAGTAGGATTTATTTTCTAAGCCCCTGTTATCGTTTACTTTGGCTCAACGCCCAGTGTCCACCGAGACTCCACCCAACCCCCCTCACAGGGAGAAGGAGGAGGGAAGGGGGTAAAAGAAAAAAAAAACTTGCAAAACTGAGGCTGCTGAGAAAGGCGGTTTTATATTTACACAGAGAAGAAAAAGAGAACTACAAGCACTATACACACAGGGAAAACTAAACAATAAAGACTGCCTCCCCATGAAAGGTGTTTTCCTCCTCTGAAAACAGCCATCTATCCTGCACAACTGTCCCAGAAGAGAAGGAGGAAGTTGTTTTCTTCTGGTCTCTTTATATCTGAGCTGACATAACATAGTATGGAATAGCTTATTGGTAAAATATACGTCAGGTAACCTATCCTAGTTCTGTTTCCCTCCCAGGAAGGGTTACAAACCCACTACAGCCCCCAGAGTTCTCTCAGCCTTTTGTCTCATGACACCATATTCAGTTTGCCTGCCAACTTCATGGTTTCTTTTGGCAGCTGCTGATTCCATATTAGCAATTATGTTTGAGTTGAATTCAAATCACCTACAGTTGTAAAGTCATGAATATGAAAAAAAAAAAAAAAAAGAAAGCTTTTGGTTTTCCAGGAATATTACTGTTTATGGCTACTTTAGTACTCTCTCGAATTTTTTTATGTTTTCGAGAGCATCGGTGGCTACCAAACAGATTTTTGCCCAATCAGAATAAAAGGGACTTAATTGCATCCTTTTTCTTCATTCAGCCATATGTCCAGAAAATTTGCACCTATAATTACTAAAAAATGCCTAGGTAATCATGTGTGATTGTACTGATACTTATATTAATATTATGACAGCTCTTACAACATATGTTCCCCATAACTTTCTGTTGATGTTATTTGCAAAGAGCTTTATAAGAATTCATTATTTCTGTCTGTAATGTGAAGGCTGGCAATGGTGAGATTACTTTTTGAGGTTGGAGTGATTATATGCAGGAGAAACCTAAACAATTGGGGCCACAGAAAAATTCTTAGTTTTCACTTACCCATGTAATGTATTATTCCCTTACATTTTATGTGAATAAAGGGGAGAAGACTTGTTTACTTCGACAGTCTGGCTCATCACCTGTTCGTCATGGCCACAGAAGGAGTTTCAGCCCAAGCCATTCATTACAGAGAGCAGTTTTCCCATCCCATGAAGCTGAATTGCTGAGCTTTGTATATTAACAACTATCACAAGTAACTGGGAAATTAATTACCATTTTCTCTGAAATAAGCTGGCTTTAAATGCTTCAGAAGTAGGAGCCTGACCATGGGAAGCTACTGCAGAGTTCAGTCATATGCCAGAATATGCTACAGTGGTTTGTCCTAATAGCAATTTCCAAAAATAGGTCAAAATGTAATATTTTTCAGAAGTAATATCACAGAATCTATTCCTACGTGACTTATTCTATCACTCCACTTATATTTTCCTAATAATAAAGACTGTTTTTTCATTATTTCCTTACCTGCTAAATACAGGGTGGTTTTCTAAAATACAGTATAGCAGAGAATCCAAGAAGTATGAGCAAAAATGACACTTCAGATTTGTGACTCAACACCCATGAAGCTTACTTTCATGCAGAGTACCTATTCCTGCCTTCAGTTTGATTAAGATCAAGATGGATATTGTTGTAGAATGGTTACACAGCCATAGGTCTCTGATGGTTCTTTCAGTATTCTTTACTGAAAGATTTAGGAGGGGTTGTTCTTTGAAGATTGTTAAAATACATTTCAGAATTTATCAAATTATAATTATTATTATCTTTAAAAATTACCTTAGCAAGGAGGCTCATATATTCTGTCAGTATTTGCAGAATAGAATGAGTTTAAATATAGTTTTGAATAATAGATATGAAAAATTAAAGGTCTCTTAATGTGTCTATTATATTTTCTTAATCTGTCTGTTATATATATAGATGCAGGATGTACAGCTTCACAATTTTACAGGCACATGATGTTTTTATTAAGTCCCCATTTTTTGGCTTAAGCTTTTGATAATTATTTAATGTAATATTTAGTAATATACCTCTACTAAAAAATTAAATCTCACTGTATTCAAGTAGTCACAGCATTATATTGTAAATTATGCAACTGAACAGGAACAGATTTTAAATAACACAATGAGAGTGGCAGTGAAAGACTGCTAAAAATAAATCTGGGTATGCAAATACAATTAAAGGTGTCCATCTACTAATGAGTAGCTATAGTTTCAGTTCCATAATCTGTCGTTCAGCATGAAAAAAACACACCTTTAATTAAAGAGAACCCCTAACATACAGATTTTTGAAAATGCATATTTGGATGTTTTATGTTTTAAGAAAAATATTGTTCTTATCAGAATAAAAGCATTTTTTTATTGTTTATGTTATAAATATAACAAAGAACAGAGAATGGTATTTGGAAAGGAGGGTACATGCGAGTGGAATGCTCTAATTTGAAAGATTCAGTGGAACCTTCAGGCTGCTTTATCTCTTGGGTACTTTACTGGAAACTACTGAAGTTAAATAACTAAATTAATAAACAATCTTTTCTGACCAAGAAAGTCACAGCCAGTGAGGTTATGGTGAACCTTTTCTCCATTACTTTACAGATATTAATAAATGTAATGGGGATGCCAACATCTGCCTCTTTGGGTCTTGTACAAACACCAAAGGAGGTTTCCAGTGCATTTGTCCTACAGGTTTTGTGCTCTCTGATAATGGACGGAGATGTTTTGGTAAGTTAATGATAAAGGAATATAATAACTTATTCTAAAAGATAATAGGAACTCTGTAGAGGTCCCTTCCAAATTATGGCCTTATGAGGCATGCAAAATGCTTTCAAAATAGTATGAAAAATACGAGCCTTACATTATTCCTTTCAGGGCTGGAGAGTCGTCATCCAATATTCTCTTTTTTCAGATACTCGTCAGAGCTTCTGTTTCACTAACTTTGAGAATGGGAAATGCTTAGTGCCAAAGGCTTTCAACACCACAAAGGCAAAGTGTTGCTGCAGTAAAATGCCAGGAGAAGGATAGGGTGATCCTTGCGAGCTCTGTCCAAAGGAAAAAGAAGGTACAAATCAAGACTGAAAATTTTTAGGCAGTAGAAAATGAAGAGCACATTGGTGTTGTACCTTTTGATCATTAGAAAGAGAGATTTTTTTGGCATTCACTCTTAATGGCCTTTTTCTGGAATAATTTTCAAGTCAACAAAATGAATAAAATTAAATAGAAGAAAACACAAGAAGGGAAACACTGAGTTTTTGGCTTTGCTCTGTAGAGAACTGAACAAGTATCCTCCATCTCTAGATCTAGTCTAGGCAAAAGAGGAGAGCAAAATGGGATAAAGCCAAGAATCCCTGAAATAACAGTTTTCAGTTCTTGGGTTTCTCCAGGTATGGAAAAGGGAAGGCACCAAGCACATACACACAGAAGCTGAACAAGCGATAGTGCTGCTTTACTGACCTAAAGACAGTGTTACTTTTGCATCTGGCCAAGACAGTGTCATGACAATGGTTTAAAGAGTTGACAATTTTCAAAAATGTGATATAGAAGATTTTTTGATGGTTTTAACCATCTGTCATGGATCTCTCACTCTTCTTTTTTAAAAGAAAACATATCTCTACAGTTGCTTTTCAGGACCTGTGTCCTTATGGTCATGGAACTATTCCTGGAATTAATGATACCCATGAAGGTAGGTTAATTAAAATATTAAAGGTAGGTTAATTAAAATATGCTTTTTCCTGTTAATTAAAAAAAATTTAATATTTATACTTAAAACTAGACTTGGATACTATAGTGTGTGATAACTTACTCCTCAGAGCTGTTGGTGACGAGGCTGACCTGTAAAATGTGGACCATTTAGAATGATAGCTAAAAGAACACTTTTGAAATTACATGACTTGAGACAAAAAGAATAGGGTGCTCGAGTTTTTTTAAAATGCTTTTTTTAAGAGTTGAAATGCATCAGCTAAATGATTGATAATATCTTTCTGCTTTTTAGATGTCAATGAATGCCTTGAGAGCCCAGGAATTTGCTCCAATGGTCACTGTATCAATACTGATGGATCGTTCTGCTGTGAGTGCCCCATGGGATACAGCTTGGATTTTACTGGAGTACATTGCATCAGCATGTACAATTTATAGGAACTGAAACACTTGAATTGAAAACACAACTTGAAATGTGTCCCAATTCTCTTCAGTTTGCATTTATTCATTATATACAGATACTGATGAATGTTCAATTGGCAACCCGTGTGGAAATGGTACGTGCACTAATGTGGTTGGCAGTTTTGAGTGCAGCTGCCATGAAGGATTTGAGCCAGGCCCAATGATGAATTGTGAAGGTAACCTGCCCTCTTTTTTTTTTCCTTTATTTTTTGTACAGTCCTCAGTATTCAAATTACTTTATTAACCAGGTCTTTGGTGCTGTAATAACTGGGAGGAAAAAAAGTTTCTGAGCTTGAAATACGTCATTGAAAAAGAAGTTGGGAATTGATTTAAGCAGTATTTTTAGTTTATCACAAGATTTCCCCAAACTGTGTGATGTGGAATGTTCCATAATTCAGTTGTTTGTTGGAAAAAGAGTTAGAGAAGTAACAGTCGAACCCCCAGAGTATCCTCATAGATGGATATAAAAATAGCTAACCATGGCAAAAATGCCTGAATTTGAAGAGCATTTTGTCATGCAGAGCAGAACAGTTATGAACTGACCCACTTGTCACAGCTGTAGGAACAAGTGAGTTATTTTTCCAGTAATAAACTCAAGTTAGACCGCTGTTCCATTAATTTATCTCTCACAGCTGAAATGCTAATTCAGCATGGAAACATGACTTAACAGGTTTCTGCAGTTCACTCCTCTAATGCAAGAGCTGGGTATACAGAGAAAATATGATGTAAAGTGGGGGATGCCTCCCTGCAGAGGGGGTTTAGTGTCCACTTACGGGTCTGTTGTCCAAGAATCTATCCAGAACAGTTAGAATCTGCTGATGCCTGTCTTCTCATTACTTGGGGGAGTATTTTCTTTTGTCTCTTTTAAACTAATCCCTTACTAGTTTCCTTGAGTACCTCTTATTTTTCATAGTGTGTTAGTTGTGTATGACTCTCATCAGATGCTGATCAGGATTCTTCTTACAGATTTTGTATTTTATGACTGATAATCAGTTTGCTTTTCGAAGTAATTTCTTTTTTTTTAGAGTTGGGGAAAAAAGTAATTTTTTCTTTTAAGAGTTGGGGAAAAAATATGACATTTCTTATCACATGGAAATATATTAAAAATTATCATATTAAAAAAATCTGAAATAGGCCTGCTCCAGCTTGTCATTCTAAGCTTAAGTAGTTCTATAGATAACATGCTATTATTCTCGAACAGAGCATTGTTCAGTTTTCTCAAAACCAAAACTCAAAACCAAACGTCTGTAAGTTTCTGGTTTGAATTATTACATTTCTGATAATTTTAGCTGATAGGGGAAGCATAGGTACAACAAACCCTTCATGACGGTTGTTTTTAAACTTAGTAGAGAATGATTATTTTGTTTCTTTCTGTTCAGATATAAATGAGTGTGCTCAGAACACCTTGCTGTGTGCTTTTCGTTGTGTTAACACCTATGGTTTCTACGAGTGCACCTGCTCAGTCGGGTACAAACTAAGAGAAGACAGAAAGATGTGCAAAGGTAATGGCTGATGTATAAACTCCTCACTACCTTCCATCACCCTGTACTGGCCAAAGCATAATCCAAATATTTCTGTACATCTTGCATTCATCCTCTGAGTGGAACGTAGCAAACAACTCAGCAGATGATGATTTACTATTTCAGAACTCACATAAAGAGCAGTATTTAGTATTTTTGTCAAGTGTAACCCCTGAGGGGAACCATACACACAAGGAGGTCACAATGGTGAAATTCATCTTTAACATGCCAAGATGACACAACTCACAAAATTAAGACACCTGCAAATAAGCATAGCTCTTAGATTTTTTTCTTCAGTGCTTGTTAGTTAGGGAAGCCTATACCTCCTTTTTTCTTTAGAAAATTCTAGTCTTCAGTAACTGAAGCTAGTGGAAGGAAGTTCAAACACAAATACGTTTGGGTTTTTTTTGCCAGATCTAGATGAGTGTGCTGAAGGTCTCCATGACTGTGAATCAAGAGGCATGATCTGCAAAAATTTGATTGGTACCTTCCTGTGCATTTGCCCTCCTGGAATGACCTGGAGACCTACCTGATGGAGAAGGATGCACAGGTAAAGCTTAGAAAGGGAGGAAGACATCTACTGAAATATATACAAGCAAACAAATAAAAAATTCTCTGTATATGTGTATAGAAAACTAGAAAATAACAATTCATAAAAAAGACTTAAGGTAGCTAATGATGCTAAACATTTTAAACTTTCTTTTTTGTTTCAAGGTTTGAGCCTCATCTGGAAGTAGTTCTAAATGACTAATCAGGATTCCAGAAGAAACACTCTATTGTTGTATAACAAAATCCAAAAGTTTTTCAAACAGTTATTACATTTAAGAAATTAAATAGCTAAACAAATGAGACCTCATTTGATGGGTAGGAAGCAAAATTATCATAAATAAAAAGTTATGTTTACTTTAGCATTAATATAAATAATATGTCACTTCTTTAAAGAATTAACACTGTAAGATTCTGAAACTACCTATAAACGCCATGAAGAGCAAAAGATGTGGAAACTGCCAGAGTCAGAATAATTCCCCATCCTGTAAGTAAGCAAACAGCTTTCCTCCATCATTTACTCAATTAGCTGAGGAGGAAAGATAACTACATTTTTAGCAAATTGTACTTCTGGTATATTAAAAAGACCATTCCAAAGTTCTCTGCCAAAAAAATAGTAAGCATCCATCTTAGTGAATGTTTTAAATGAAAATATTTTAAAACAGTGTTCCTTCAGCAGGAGATGACTCCTCTCCTTTACAGAGCTTTCTGATTTTTTTTTCTCAGGTAATATGATCTGTATTAACAATAATTTTGTCTTTTTTGACATGTAATTCTGCCTTTAACTCACCTGAGTTTTTTCTGAGGTTTCATTTTAAATATCTATAAAGGTGTGTAATTGCTTGCAGTATCTGTGCCATTAGCTATGGAAAAAATACACTAAAATTGTAAACTGTTTTGGGGAAATATGTGGAATATTGGGGAAATATGACATTGAAGGAAAGATCAAAAGTACTCAGAGACTAGTAGTGATTACAAAGTGAAAATTCATTATGCAAATCATGAAGGTATTTCAGTTTTATTTAAATATTACTTGTCAGGGAAGTGTTATGACTAGACGTTGCTTTGCCGAAAGTGTTTCCTGCTTCTTGTTGTAAGTTGCAGAGCACATAGAAGGATTAAATTATTAAATTCAGATTTATTATTAAATATTTATGATTAAATATTATTATGTTATGATAGTCATCATCATCATCATCATGGCTAGGCTTCGCGAACGAAGATTTGGGAAGGCTCTATCCACATTTGCTGCAGGCACGCTGGTGGCTTATGAGGCCAATACGTGACAGACAAATCCGATTGCAAAAGGCACAGCAGAAAGACTCCTTAGATGGTGTATTCTGCAATACACGGTTCTTTCTGCGTTGCCTTTTTTCCTCGAGGGTGATCCTGCGTGTGTTCTCAAAGGCGACAGCTGCGTTATAGATGGTGTGTCTCCAGGCCTCCCGATTTGAGGCCAGAGTAGACCAGTTATGGTGATCAATATGGCCAAGGCTGAGATGTTGTTTCCGGGAGTCCTTGTATCTTTTCTTCGGGGCTCCTCTCATGCGGCAGCCAGTGGCAAGTTCACCGTAAAGCAAGATCTTAGGGAGGCGGTGGTCCTTCATCCTTGAGACATGTCCCGCCCAACGCAGCTGTGTTCTCATCAGCATGGCCTCGATACTTGTGATAGCTGCTTGCTCTAGAACAGATGTATTGGTCACATAGTCTGACCAGTGGATGTTTAGAATTGTACGGAGGCAGCGTTGATGGAAGCGTTCTAAGAGATGCAGGTGGTGGCGGTAGATGACCCATGATTCAGATCCATATAAGAGAGTAGACAACACTATGGCGTGGTATTACTCTGCTCTCCATTGCTGGCAAAATCCTGGCAAGAATACTCTTGAACAGACTAATACCCACTATAGCAGAAGGTATCCTTCCTGAAAGTCAGTGTGGTTTCAGAGCCAACAGGAGCACCACAGACATGGTATTTGTCCTCAGACAACTGCAAGAGAAGTGTAGGGAACAGAACAAAGGTCTCTATGTAACCTTTGTCGACCCCACCAAGGCTTTTGACACTGTGAGCAGAAAAGGTCTGTGGCAGATTTTGGAACGTTTAGGTTGTCCCCCTAAATTCCTCAAAATGATTATCTCACTCCATGAGGATCAGCATGGCCAAGTCAGATATGGCAATGCACTTTCTGAGCCCTTTTTAATTAAGAATGGTGTGAAACAAGGCTGCGTTCTCGCTCCTACCCTATTCACCGTCTTCTTTAGCATGATGCTCCAAAGGGCCACAGCAGACCTCGATGATCAGGACGGTATCTACATTCGATACTGTACTGATGGAAGTCTATTCAATCTAAGGCGACTGAAGGCCCACACTAAGACCTTAAACCATCTTGTCCGGGAGCTGCTTTATGCTGATGACGCCGCCCTTGTGGCCCACACAGAAGCAGCTCTGCAGCGTTTAACATCCTGCTTTGCAGATGCTGCTGAGCTCTTTGGTCTGGAGGTCAGCTTAAAGAAGACAGAGGTCCTCCATCAACCTGCACCTCAGGATGTCCCCCATCATCCCCACATCACCATTGGTCAATCAGAGCTCAAATCAGTCCAACAGTTTAATTACCTCGGTAGCCTCATCTCCTCAGATGGCAAGATCGACGGAGAGATAGACAACAGATTAGCAAAGGCATAGAGTGCTTTTGGAAAACTCCATAAAAGAGTATGGCGTAATAAACACTTGAAGAAAAGCACCAAGATCAGTGTTTACAAAGCCATAGTGTTGTCTACTCTCTTATGATAGTCATATTATTATTGTTATTGTTATGGAGGTTTTGTTGTCATTATTATTATTATTACTATTATTATTATTATTATTACTATTATTATTATTATTATTATTAACTCTTTTCTGGGATGCAGTACAGAAGGAATGGAATAGGATAATTGTACTAAAAAAGCCTTTTCCAGACTTTACCAGTTGTTGGTTTTCCACTTCTTGTAGATATTTTTCAAATATTACAGAGAATAATTGACACATTTTAGGAGTCTGATGTATTTTCCAGTAACAATTGTTTTATTATAATTATTATGTTTTTATGAAGATGAAAACGAGTGCCGGACCAAGCCAGGTGTCTGTGAAAATGGTCGTTGTGTGAATGTTGTTGGGAGCTACAGATGTGAATGTAATGAAGGGTTCCTATCAAGTCTATCAGGCATTGAGTATCTTGGTAAGTGCCTCTTTTGTACACATTTCATCTTAAAGTGTAAAGGATGCAGACAGTGAATTAGAACCTAACAGCTCTCATATCTACAGAAATGAAATAATCATCCTTATTGAACAATGATATAATATGAAATAATGATATGAATGAGAAGCATCCTGAGAATATCATCTGAGCATAGCAATCAGGGGCTTCACATTGAGGTGTCTTAATTCTATAGGACATGAATCTTGACAAAAGATACAGGTGTTTTTAAAGAAGAAGGAGAATTTGATTACCTTGAGATAAATAAAAAACTGGGATACAGAGTAAAATTCAGTGTTTGCATATTCAGAACGCAACCTTAAGTGCCATAATACTGCAACTAGGCACCTGAATTTTCTGTACCTTTAATTCAGACAGTGATTATGCATATAAAATACTATGATTTCATGAAAAATTGCAAGACATATTAAAAATTTTTATGCAGGTCTGCAGATTAAATGCTACTGAAGAATTTTATGTTAATCAGCCTGTATTTCCTTTTCAATACATTCAGACTTGCACTATAAAATTCATCATTCCCGTTTTGGAAGGCAAACAGAACTGCAAAACCTTACTTTTCCAGGACAAACATTCAAGTGTAAATACAATACTGAAATGGTATGAGTATTTATTAATATTTTTACATTAAAAATGCCTGAATATTATCTTATGTAAATACTATAAAACCAGCTCCCTGTAAATTGTCATCAGTAGTGTTCTGATTTCATGGCAAAGCAATAACACAGGAAGTGCATAGAATTTCCCAAGGATTGAGAACAGATGGGAAGAGAATGCTGCAGTCTATTAACCCCAGCAAGTCATTAACACCAGGGAAATACCCTGTTTGGAGATCATTGTTGCTTCCTTATATTTAATATGTAATTTTCTTATTATTTCCTGTAAACTGTGATTTGGGAAGGTTTGCTCATTGCTGCTTTTTCTTCAGGATTTCCTGGGTTAGAAATTACAAGGAAAAATGAGTCTGGCAGAAACACAGTATTTCTTCAGAATTAAAGCACAAACATGAAATAGATTACAGTGTTTTTAATGCACTGTGCAAACTTTTATGTTCTTTGGACATTAAAATTTATTCCACATCTCAAACTGAGGACAAAGCATTTATGTGTTCCTCAGGTCATAATGTCCCTAAAGATCTGCAATATACCTGTGTAGGAGAACAGAAATCTGCTCACAAAGAGAAGGTCAGCCAAATGTTGATACATTTACATATTCCAGGTGTTCAGAAGGATTTTAACTCCTAGTTCTAAGAGAAAAAAAAGAAAATCTTTCATTTAAAAATTTAAGCATTTTCAGACCATAATTGATAATGTCTCCATTTTAATTAACAAATAAGACAGATGACATAGCCTATTTACAAGATATGATTTCCACAAGTTTTGGAGTTTCCATTAGCACTTGAAACTGGGATCTCTGCTCTCCTCAGCTGCCTGTTTGAAGGAAACCTGTAGCAGCTCCATGACTTTCAAACTTTGCTTCCCTTTCATTATTGACAAGTATTGACAAGGCTTAAAAAATAAAATAGAATTAGACAAGGACAGATCAACAGTAGGACCATAATTTTTTTTTTCCCCCACAACAAAGACTAGGACAACCACAGAAAAAGGACTGACTTGCGTATACACTTTTTAGTGACAAGGATTTTATTATTTAAACTGCATCAGGGTAATTAGAGATGATCAGATATTATTTTGTCCAGTAAAACAAACAAACAGAACAGACTTCTAACCCCACTCCAAGTAAAAGCATGGGCAGCCTAAGTGGAAGCTCAGTTTTGCCCACAGCCTGTTTTACTGTTGAGCCAGTCTTACTATCATCAGATATGCCCCAGGGCTCAACTTCCCTAGAAGTAAAACTCTTATCCAGCTCATGCAGGTACTGAACATTAGGAATGTCTTGAATATATTTGGAATTGCAGCATACAAAAAAAAAAATCTGAAAGGTTAAATCAAGACAGTCTTCATGATAGCCAGTAATCTTGTAGTGCTTGCATGTGTTGACGGAGAGCCACAGTAATACATCAGGTGCATAATTTTCTATTCTTCTCTGTTTTAATCTCTTTCCTTCTTCCTCACAGATAATCACCAAAGGTTTTGCTTTGCTGAAGTTCTACAAACAATGTGTCAGATGGCTTCCAGCAGCCAGAATCTTGTCACTAAATCTGAGTGCTGCTGTGATGGAGGCCAGGGCTGGAGGAACCAGTGTATGCAATTCAATGCCCGCTGCCCAGAACCAGTACAAGAAACTCTGTCCCCACGGACCAGGCTATACCACAGATGGAAGAGGTATTGGCAGGGCAAAGAGGCAAAAAAGGGGAAAAGAATATGCTCACATATTTAAGAGAATGCAGGATTCTCTTTGAAGTTCCTTTGAAGAATTTCCTGTTGAGTTTAATATTTCAAATACTGCTCAGCGACCAGATAATAAAACCACATTTCAACAGTAGCTGCGGCCAGAACAGCTGTGCAGAATGTTCAAGATTGGAATCTCTAAAGCAGGAGATACCACAGTAACTAAAAGCTAGAAATTATCCCAAAGCTTTTGTGTGCTGAAAAGTTGCATACATGGCAAAAGCAACAACTGTTGTTCTAACAACACTCTCACAATGCTTTGCAGGTACTGTTTCCTCAGAGGAAGCAGAAGCTAATGTACATTTTTTAGTTGTGAAAATTTTATGACCACATGAGCAGCCATAAGAAAATTCACTTCTGTGGGGTTTGTATTTTGAGTTAGTAAAACTGGGACTTGAGTACACAAAGAAATAGCAGGAAGGTTTTGATACAAAGAAGAGTAATGAAAGTTTGAAGGATGTTTGGCTTTGGATTCGGATCCATTTTTAAAGAGGGAGAAGGGGTAAAGCTCCTATCAGAAGCACCGTGATAAGGAACTCTGCAAAAATGGAAGAGGAAAAACGTTGAATTTAAAATTGAGAGGTGACATGTTTATTATTTTCTGTACAGATATTGATGAATGTAAGGTCATGCGAAATCCATGCAGAAATGAACAGTGTATTAACACAATGGGCTCCTTCCAATGCTTCTGCAAAGCTGGTCGCACCACTGACATCAGTGGCACATCTTGTGATGGTAAGATTCAGTGTCTTAGTTACCAGAGATTTATTTCGTTTTTACATAGTGATGTATCAACCTCTGTAAACCTTTGTAGCAAACCATTTTTTTCTCTTTTTCTGTTTTACCACGTTTCTGTCCTTCTTTTCCTAACATACACTTCTGGTTTTGCGTTTGATTTGGGGAAATAGAGAAATGAGCTCTACTGGCAATATTCCTGCAGTAGAATGATCACTGAAGTTGTACAGATCAGTTGTATAACCACATTAACTGACAAACCAGCTCATGACTTTTGGTCTACATTTTCCCACTTTTTTGCTGGTTAACACATATAAATATACCATAGTATGCCAAAAAATAAATACTAGTTCCTTACATGAAAAAACTCAGGACAGTTTTTCATGGTAGAGGCAACCCCATATAAACTCCACAGCAACATAGAGAAAGGAATAGAAACTCTGAACAAGTATGAATCAGAAGCTTTTTCTGTGAACATTCTCTTAAATGTAGTGCTGTCCAGCAGATATCCTTCTGTTGAGGAATTCAGTACAACAGATACTTAATAATTTCTCCCTTCAGACATTGATAAGTGCTCCCAGTCTCCTAGACCATGCAATTTTATCTGCAAGAACTCAGATGGGAGCTACCAGTGCTCATGCCCTCGGGGCTACATCCTTCAGGAAGATGGAAAGACATGTAAAGGTAAAGAAGGTTATACACAGTAACTTTTTTATTTGGTTTCAACTTGGCTTAAAAGCAAATAGTTTTGAAGTGTAATTTTTTTATCAAATTAGACTAAATGTGCCTCTTTTTCTGTTGACTTTTCTTAAGACAACACCATCTCTTACTTTCAGATCTTGATGAATGTCAAACCAAACAACACAACTGTCAGTTTCTCTCCTCCCTTGGAGGCTTCACATGCAAATGTCCACCTGGTTTTTAATCAAATGTTGTAAGAAAAAAATGTTTTTCCTGAATGTCTGTATCAGTAAGACAATACAATAATTGCAATAAAGCTTATTTTGGGTTAGTTTTTATTTGTTGAAATATCTGTATTCTTTATACAAAATAAGCAATCTAATAGTAAATCTGAAAGATTCAGAGCAGGAAAAAAGGGTGTTACGGTGCAAACACTTCTTCATTCATATTTAAGGTTATACAGTATTTGCTGACTCAGTTTCCCTCTCATGACACAGTTGAAACACAGGAGTTAAAATGTCCTTAGGAAGTTAAAACTGCCTCTCTAAGAATCTGTCAAATATCGGGTTCAGGTGGGCTGGCCTTGCAGAACATTGTGCTTGTCCATTAATTGAGTGCTGAAGGACCATCACAATTTAAGTTGGATAATTCAGCTCTGAAAAAAAAGTCTGCATACGTTTAAGAGTAGGAGTGTAAAATCTCCATCCCACCCGAGCAGCAGAATTCTCTAAAGACCATCAATAAAGGTAGTTTTGCTTGCTAGCAGTTGCTTCATTAGGTACACAGTCAAATAACACAAAAAATGTTTCTTTTTTTTTTTCCTAAAGTATGCAGGGTTTCCACAAAGACATAAGATAATATAGTGCCCTTTTATTCTATTCCGAGTTAAACGGGCGATTGCTTTTAAGTAATTGTTGTAGGTTAGAAATCCAGGAGAATTTTTCTTCCCCTTGCCCCCACTGTAGGAAAGACGGAGTTTGAATGGAAAGGGAGGCGATTAGCTTTACAAAAGGTCTAGCCAGTCAAGCTGCATTCCTAACGAATGGCCCATCGGAGGCTGGGGGAAAGGTAGGGAGGAGTTTTGGGGGGGTTGCTGGCACTCCTCAGGGGGGAGAGATCGGACTGCTGAGTTTTCTCTCTTGCTCTGGGATGGAGACGGGGGTCTGTGTGTGTGCATTTGGAGAGAAGGCCTGGAGGTCTGTCTTTCTGGCTTCTTGTCCTGGTCAAGCCCTGACTGCTGGCCTCAGCTTCCCTGCGAGCTGTCTTTTGTCTCCAGCCCGGACCTGCTGCGTTTTCATCGGAGAGTCTCTGTGCTCACTGGGAGAAAAGGAGGAGCTTTGGGGTGCCGTCATCTGAGAACAACAGTGAGTCCTGTGGGGGTGGACTGCTTTTCCTTCTGCCCTTCTTCCATTGGGGGAAGGGCCCCCCATTGTTTCTTTTTCGGCTTCTCCCGCGACCCGAGACACCCCCAGAGCCCCTTCCCGCGCGGTGACCGCCAGAGCCCGACAGCGCCCCCTGCAGGCCAACACCGAGCACTGCAGGCTCTGCACCTCCAGCGATCCAACAGCGCCCCCTGCCGGCCGTGGTTGGAACTGCGCTAAAGGACAGAGAAGTATTCAGACTTTCTTTTGTTTGAAGGGGACTTTTGGGTACAGGACTATTGTTTAGCTGTTTTTATGGTCTGTAACTGTTCGTGCCAATATACATATATCTTTTAATAAAAGGTTGTTATTTCTTCCCTTTTTTCCCACATTTCCTCGATTAAAGCCCCTTAATTTTGAATTTACAATTGCTGAGAGAGAGGAGTTTGGTCTGTCTTGTAACTCATCCTCTTTAGCAAACATTCCAGTCTCTTCAAACTGAGACAGTAATAGCCAATACTGATTGTGTGTTTTTGTCACACTGGTAACAGCCAGAGAAAGGGAAATTGGACACATTGGCTTAACCACCAAATTAAGATGAAAAATGCTTGGTTTAGTTGTACTCTTTAGTTTCTGAGTATAATAGAAGACAGAATCAGTCTGGATGAGCAGAATTAGCCCTATATACTCTGTTGGGGTTCTTTTGTAGGAGTGGCACTTTACAAGTTAATTGCATTAAAAGTCAAGTTGAGGGTCTAAGGTTCCAGTTATTGGACATGGTAACAATGAGTTTCCCTAGTGTTAGAGACTTATTCTTTTTCAGCATAAACCTCCTCTTTCCCATGCTGTCAAAGCCCCAGGCTTGACAGCCTGCTGCATCACTCTTCCCTAAAATATTAATAAATTAATAAAGGAAATGCAAGTTTTTAAAGGACTCATACACTTAAATTTCACTCAAGAAACAAAATAGAAATTATGGCATTGTAATTTGTTTCATAATTAATGAAAGTGCTTGAAGGACTGTCTCATCTGGGAGGAACCCCATGGGGAGCAGGGGAAGGAGTCAGCTCCTCTCCCTGAGCAGCAGCAGAAACAACCTGTGACGATCTGACTGTGACCCCCATTCCTGTCTCCTTGCACACCTGGAGGAAGGAGGGAGAGCCTGGGAAGGAGGGAGGGTGAAGGGAAGGTATTTTTAAGATTTATTTTGTTTCTCATTCTCCTGCTCTGATTTTGTTAGTAACAAATTCAATCAGTATCCCCAGTTGAGTCTGTTTTGCCTGTGACAGTATTTGGTGAGTGATCTCTCCCTGTTCTTCTCTCAACTCATGAACCTTTTGCTGTATTTTCTCTCCCCTGTCCACTTGAGGAGGGAAGTGATAGAGCAGCCCTGGTAGGCGTCCGGCATCCAGCCAAGGTCAAACCTCCACAAACCTGCATATGTTCTCAGGTTTATCTGACATTTAGTAGTGCATCAAATTAGACAAAACAACGTGAAACTGTCTGTAACCAGACTTACTTGGCATTACCTTCAGATACAATTCCAAGCTGACAGCTACAGAAACAAAAAGACCTCTAGAGGTCTGATAACTGACTTTAGGACTTAAAAACTCAGCCAGTTTCCAAGAAGGCTATTCTCTGTCCAAAATGGGAGCTTTCCAGGAAGCATTTATTGCAAGAAAAGTCAACAGACTGAACCCAGTAAAGCATATTATCCTTTGTTGCCAGCTCTCAAAAGAGGAAAGAAAATAGTAGCAACACTCACTAATGACTCAGAGTTCTGAGGCTACAAGTTCTGGAGAATTTTATTGGTAAACAGGGACTATTTACATGTGCTGTGCACACTTTTTAGATTTTTGTAGCCTTTTTTTTAAAAACAAGACACTATCATTAGAAAACACCTATGTTAACTTACCACACACTAAGTTTAATATACAAAAAAAGCCTTATCCCTTTACTATAAAGGCAGCATTATCTTTTACCATCTAAAAGTGCACGAGCCAGTTATGCACAATACCCAGAAAGAAGTTATCCCAGCTTCAAATCCATAGCGAAAAATATCGTATTATTTAAAAAACCCACAATTAAACAAAACAAAACAAAAAAGCCAAAATCAAAACCAAAAAGCCACCAAACCAAAACAAACACCTGCTTTCAATCCAGCCTATCTTAGTATGTGTTTCTACACTCATTTATCCAAACTCTACCCTTTAACAGCCTCTAGCCTTTTAATGATAAAAGTTTAATGAGAAAGCTGACTAGACTTGCACAGGTAGTGTCCCAGAAAGCTATGAACCCTCCAAATCTGTTGATAACAATAAAATGAAAATCGTCTTGCTCTTTAGAAGAGGCTGATGTATCAATCTCTTGGCAACTTGGAGCAAGATTGTAGTGACTAAAGGCAACATCTAAGCTAGGCTGAGGCAGCAGGGATTTCATCAGTACGCTTTAGCTATTCTAGCAAGTCTATGATTCTTTTTAGCAGCAGGTTATGTGTGGAGATTTCTCCCTTGAGTGGGGAATGCCCCTCAAGGTCACTCCTCAAGGCTGAGTGAGAAATTTGCCCATGGTCATTGGTATAGGTGAGTGACATCAATCTCTACTTAACAATTATTTTGCCAGCTTTAATATCATTGCTTCAACATTACTTCAAAAAAATAGTGCCCTCTACTACCAGTTGTGTTATCCATGAAAAGTGGGATCTTTCAGCCAGTGTGCAAAGTCAATAGACACACAAGGTCAAAGTATTTGATTTATTTATTACTGTTCTGCACTTTTAAATGCACACCCAATTTTTTTTTAAAAAAACATTAGCTTTAAGATAAAACTCAACACACAGATCAACCATAGTATCAAAAGGCACACGTTTCACTGTCTGTTCCAGAAAAATCTTCTAGTAGAAGGCTGAAAGTAGGCAAGAAGTAACTGATTAAAAACTTACCAATTAAATAGAAATCCTGCCAAGTAGTTCAATCCAAAGGTTAAAAAGTATTTGAACTGCTCTCCCCAACTCACATAACATTTTTGAAAGCCATGAATTCTTAAAAATCAGAAATAAAGTCAGTTTTGAGCATGCAAAACATTTGAGAAGAACAGCTCCCACATAACACTGACAGGCACGAATGATTTATGGCCTGAGTTGCCTGTAAACATAAAAATGTAAACATAAAAATGTAAACATTTAAAATCAAGGAGGAAAAGTTGTTTAGTACAAATATAACACATCTGGTCTCCTATAATGAGATAGGACGTTTACACCATCATTTGGTGCACATATTTTTCCCCGTGTGTATGCACAATCAGCCCACCAAGAAGTGATCAGATTTGGGAATTTCGAGATTAACTCAAAAATCCAACAATTCCTACCTCTTACAAACTGGCTTTTAGAATTGCACAGCCTTCATATTTTATGCTTAATCTGTCAAAAGTAAGAATAAAATGCCATCACCAGTCTCCCTCTCAACCTTACTGATTCAGCATTGCCCTACCCTGCTCTTGCATCCTCAACATTCAAGCTGCACTTATTTCCAGGTCCTAATTATATAGACAACCACAATCTTTAACTTCTGGTCTAGAGTAAACTCTGCAATCCCACACCACCTGGCAGTCACAGAGTTTTGTTTTTCCCCATCTAAACTACTAACATCACAATTTGTGTCATTGTTTTACATTTTTATATTGTAAAATGAAGGGCACAGTGTTGCTGAATGCTTTATTTTCATGGTATTGTTTCAAATATACAGATAAGAGACTGAAAACTGATAGTTAAGAATCAAGATCCAGCTTGAAATGCCTGTCATCATATTTATCAATTGGTGCCCAAGGCCCAGATAAGATAAATTTAAAAACAAACAAAACAAAAACAAACAAAACAAAAAACCAC